TCCAATGGCAAAACTATAGAGAAGGCTCTACCACCAAGACCAAGGCCAAGAAAAAGAATACTTGAATCCCACCTAGATGAAAATCCAGCTGAAGACCGGTTGTCTCTTTTTCTTAATGGCCATCTGTCTGAGGGAATTATTGACAATATGGGGGAGCCACTTTTGTCGTCTCTTGAAATGGGCCAAACTCCCCAACCTCAGACTATAGATGTGCAGGGCCCTCTGTCATTCTCAAGAACATCAACGTTAACTGCTCGTCAACGGGAAAAGGCTCCTGACCAATCAAATAAGGAATATTCTGATCCCCCTCATAGAGGCAGCTCTCATTCCTCTCATTCTCCTCCTTTTGGAAATGTCAACCTCACCCCGTTAGTAGAAGATGAAGAGGTTTATGATATCTCTGGTTTAGATGATCATCCTATTCAAGAAGCACCATCCACTGTCAACGCTGTTCCAGCTAGAATGGCTCGAATAACTTCTTCCACCATTGTTTCTCCACATTCATCTACCCTCATCATTGGTTCAACTTCCACTGGCCACCATGACACAGAGCCTGGTTTAGAGCATACCCCTCCAAGTGTTGTTTTTTCAGAATCTATTCAGCCCTATTTCTATCTCAGGTCTTTGATTCCAAACAACAAACAATGGCAAACTGCTCTAAGTTTGTTGGCATCCAAGGTATGCTTGAAACCATACTTATTGAGCTTTCAACTGATTTTTCTTATAGCTTTCTGAGCCTCTGCCCATTGACGACGATAGTGTTCTAAGCTGGGCTACGTGGCAAAATGGGTTTGGGCATATAGATTCTTCAATCCATGAAAAACCTGGTCAATTGCAACTTGTAATGGATGCTTTACAAGATCTTCTGGAATCTGCTGAGAAAGACACCCCACTGGAAGATGATGAACTTCAACAGTTCCTTCTTGCAATTGGTCTCTTGGTCAGAGATCTGGAATTAGTGCATTCCTACCGGCCCACCCAGAGGAAATCAGGTGTTATGGAAACTAGGCTTCACTACATGTTGCAACAAGGAAAAATCAACATGCTGCCCAAACCTACAGACTATGATCATCTTCTCAATAATCTTATAGAGAAGGCTGCAGACATGGCTCTCTTTGTCTGTGGTAATCCTATAGAAGACAAGAAGATATCCACACCACTGGAGCTGCTCCCAAAGCCGTCTGGCTCCTTCATCCCCTCCACTAAGAAGGCCGACTCCTTAACCAAGAAGACAAAGTCTAGGTCTAGCAAGGAGGATAAGGAGGAGGAGGTTGAAGAGCTTCCACCAAGAAGTCGCGCCCAGACTGAAAGAGGAGCTGCAGCCTTTCAGGCTCTAGGAATCAAAAAGCCCCCTCCTTCCAGAGTCTACTCATCAGAGTCTGGTCCTTCTGGTCTGCCTGTTATTGGGAACTCTTCTGGCAGTGTGGAATCTGTGGCTCAGAAACGTCGTAAACGACCTAGAGGAAACTCTAGTGAATCAGTTTTGGGTTCTGAGCAGGCTAAGGCAGTCAAGAAGAGAGCTCAAAAGGTGTTAAAGAAATCCAAGTAGTTGTTATTCCATTCATGTTTTATGTCCATATGATTTCAAACATAGAAAAAGATCTCTTAGAATTATTGAGACAGCTGTGGGCTAATATCTTGAATGGAGGTAAGATGAGTTTATAGCAATGTTTTCTTTTTTCTTGACTACCTACAATACAGATTGGCTAAGAGAGAACTTCATGCAAGAGTCTCTACTCTCGCCAACTAATGTGATCTGCAGGCCCCAGCTTCTGTAAGATTTCTTAGAACTTTTTCAGGGTGGTATTTTCTGGTTGGTGGAACCCTTTTTTATAGTCACATTATGTTGTGTAGCACACCACTTGCTGAATTTCTCCCTTCTATTAAAATTCACTCCAGTACTACTAGGGCAGCCAACAGTTTGTTAAAGTCTCCCCCATATTTGAGTGATGCTCTATGTTCAAGAGATAGGTTTGCAACAAACGGGCATTGCCAATTGATTTATACTTAGATCACTAGACAATAGAAAAATGAACCCAGTAAAGAACTGGAAAATCAAACCAATGCTTTGGTTTCTACACATAGAAATTCTTTTTCTGAAACACTTGAAAACAACATAGGGTGTTTAGAAATATGTTTCAGTAAACTAGAGACAAACTCTGTGCACGTCCATCACAGTCCCAATCAGGATTCAACAAATGACAGAGGAACATTGGCTGGCTGTCCAAGAAAGCTACCCAGTATCTGTGAAGAATACAGAATATATAAGCACAATGTGATCTAAAACAGAGAAAAGAATAAAACAGACCAGATCACTCTTTTCCATAGCAGTGAGCCATAAAAAACTCCTAACAAAGGACCTCTGACTATGGTTCCAGGCATTTATGGCAGGGAAGGCTGCACATAATATTGAATTAAGAGAAATGGGGCCACAAGAGATATTGTCTTGTTGGGTGACAGTGGGGTTGTTGGAATTTTGGACCAACTTCCAATGACGACCAAGGTCAGAGATTTCTTCATCCCAGGCCTGACCAAGTTTTTTAGCCGCTTCTTCTACTCCTTTTCCTACAGCCTCCTTGGTGAATGTAAATGAAGAGTCTGAAATATGGATGGTGGCATCTGAGAGATCAAGGAATACAGCAATCCAGTGTCCAAATGGCTGATTCCCCTGGACAAACCAAGGAATAGCAATCACAGACTCAGGGAAGAACCCCAATTGCCTGCTCTCCTTGATAATACCTGATACTGCTTTTCTGTGTTTCCCTTGCATAGCTAGAGTTCCACAGAAGGCATTGGCTACAAAGAGTCTCTTGGATGCCCCTTTGTGCAAACTAATCCAGAGGTTGAACTGGTTCCGGACAAGAGTGACGCTATCATCACTGATCATGTTGCTTGAGAGAAGTTCGGTAGTAACCCCAATGATAGTGTTTTGGAGGACTGGCCATGACATGCCACCCAGCAGAACTGGGGTCTTCTCAAATGCTTCGAACAGGGTTATCAATGAGCTTGAAGGCCAATTCTCAGTCTTTGAGACCTGGTGAACCCATGTTGTGCAGTCTTGAAGCCTTGCTCTAGTTTCCAGAATGAGCTTGATGGCCCTCCAGACTTTGATGATCCAGAGGGGAAGCAAGAGCTCAGGATAATCCGGATGTATAAGAGAATGGGTGTTTCGGTCTCGGATTTCCAGCCGAACAGTGTTGTCATCAGGAATGGCATTTGGAGCCCAGGAAGGGGGACAGTGAAAGACATATATCGGAATTTGGCTGGGATTAACAGGCTGGGAGTCACAGAAAACAAGTCCACCAGGTTGATGTCCTGTCATTTCAAGTCTGACTGAAGGGTCCTGAATAGGAGTCCATTGCAAGATGTCCAAGATTGTGACATTCTCAGAGAGGGTGAATACTTTGCAGACTGGCATTGGTATACGGTTAGGCTTCTTAGAAACCCAAGTATCAAGCCGCAAGGGGTCTGGAGTCGCCCAGGGAAGAAATCCAACTGTTTCTACAAGTGAGCAATGGAATAGACACTTCAAGCACTAGAAAGAGTATTTACCTGTGAGAGAGACATGGTTCATTTTGACTAATTCAGTGAGCAATAGACAGATTGAAAGACAATAGGCAGAGGGGAGGTTGTTGGGCACAGCGAAACAGGTTGGCCAGAAAGAGCAAGGTTCTTATATGGCTCGCATTGTCGGCATTTGCCGGACTCACTAGCTCTGGGAATTTCTTGGCCTAGGCTTAATCCACCTCAAGCACACAGAGTATCTGAAATCAAACAATCACTGACAGAGCAAGAAGATGCATCTCATTCTAATGGGTAATCTTCTCATGGGCAATTGGAGGCGCTAGGAGAATAAGAAAGGGAAAACCGTCTGTTTTCTCTTCAGGACAACTCAGGTCGGCATCATAGGTCTCAGCCAAAAAGAGCGCTCAGGCCGGCATCGTAGGTCTCAGCCAAAAAAGCGGCCGAAATGCTAAGCACTAGGAAACTGAATTTGGATGCTCAGATGCGCTGACTCAGATTGATTTCTCGACTGCCAATTCCGTCTCATAGTATGTTTCGGCTACGAAGGACACCTCATATTCCCTTTTCGGCTGCATAGGCTTCCTCAGATTTTATTCCCACTGCACGGAGAAAAGCCAGCCACCAAATCAGGCCGGATTCGCTTTTCTTTCCATTCTCATTTCTTCACAGCCTAACAAAACCTACTGGGCTACCTATTTACTAGGGTCAACATAACTCTCTAACGCAGAAACGTGACCATCCACTGCCTGCCACAACCCCCGAATCCTTTTCAGAACACCCGGCCGTCCCGCCGCAGAATCCCTGGGATTGGCCGACTCTTTGTCCAACATCTTGATGGCCTCTTTCTCCAACATTCTGATCGCCTGAATATGGAAGGTGATGGCCGACCCTTCCTCCGCCAAATGAAGGGATTGCTCCCCATCTGCAGTTTCGGCCACTTTTGAGACTCGCCCGCAAGCACCACATTCCCATTCGTCTGCTTTGAGTCGCGATCCGTCGGGTTTCGTAAATGCGCTGCCAGAGTGGGGAAACGAGGGGAGGGGCGAAGCCGGTAAACGGCGGTTTGCAGAGCCTCCAGAGGGGCCTGCGGATGTGGCAGCCCTGTGATCGCAAATGCGCTCCGGCTCAACGCTTGCAGTTGACCCGAGGAAGGAGGGGGGTGGGGCTATCTCTTTTGCTATGGCCGTACCAGTTAGAGCTGCCGAATGCGTTCCTAGGGTTTCTGGAGACATTAACGTCCCCGCCGGCTCAGAGGAATTGGAGACGCGAGGTCCTCCGTGCCGATCCCGCCGGAATGCGGCCGGCGTAAATCAACCGAAGGATCCAACGCTGGGTTGTCTTGCCGTGTTTCACGCCGCTTCCCGGTTGGTTGAAAAGGAAGTGGAATCGGCAAACGGCTGATTCCGGAATCAACTAGCTTGGAGGAGGGGCGGGCCGAGGACGATTGTGCCGAAACGCTGGAAGGCTCCCCAATGATGTGCGTCAAGCGTGAGGCGGCCACAGGCTTCGCTCTCGCCGTTGGGACTTGGCCTTGGTTGACAAACCAGGGCCCGTGCAAGGACTCGGGGCCCATATGGGCGGTTTCGGGTGCAGGAGAGTTCCCCGTCGCGGCTCCGTCGTTCTTGTCGGAGAACAGGTCAGTAGGGCCCACCGGTGGCTTTGTATCGTTCGAAGGATTAGATGGCAGTGTGGAGGCGGGGGCGTTATGGTCGGAGGGTCGGCTCATGGGCTCCCAGGCCGCATCGTCGTCAAGATCCATGAGGTCGTCCTCAGCTTCGCTCATTTTGGTGCGCTTTCCCTTGATGTCGGAGGGGGCAGGCGATCGTGAATTGCGTTTCAGAGGGGGCGCCGAGTCTCCGCCGGAATCCGACTCGCCGGATTCGGCCGGTTCGATATCCTCATCGTCGGCTGGATCTTCCGCACCGTCGGTCAGATCGGAGAAGCCGTCTTCCAGATCGCCTTCATCTTCCGCAGCAGTATTCGTACCAGACGCCCTTGGAGCAGATGTTCCATTGGTGTCAGACGATGATGACGAAGACTCGATTACGATGCTTTGGCTGGTCAACCCCAGATATTTCTCAGAGAGAGATTTTCCAGCCCCATCGTTCTGAAATGCCGTTACTTTCAATGTTTTAGGAGCTGAACAGCGTACGCACCAAAGCAACCGCTTCTGTGGTTGCGATCAATAGGTTCGCCCTATGGAAGCCGCGTTTGTCTACCACCTGGACCTCACATCAATCAGGTCCCCTTAGCCTGGGGCACGGGGGGGGATGGCCCGGGCTAAGGAGACCTGAATCCGTGCTCCCGCGCATGTTTGAATAATGTCCTCAATAAACCCGAGGCAGTTTCCCTGAAGGGAAGTATTCGAACGCCCTCCCTTCCAAGTCCCCCAGCCCATCACGTGTCCCCATCCTTCAGATCTCCCATCAGTCCGCGTTATCTCTCCCGCCCCCGCACGCGTTATCTCCCGCGCCCGCGCCCACGTTATCTCCCGCGTCGGCGCCGCGCGCCTCCCTGCCCCGCCACCCGTGCTCGCTGTGCCCGACAGTGAGCTCGCTGTCCCTGCACCCTGCCTCCCCCTCCGCTCCGTTTCCCTCCGTTCTTTTTGTAATCTACTTGCATTCACAATGCGCACCTAATGGTACACAATTCAATGGCCACACCTTCCTGGGTGTGCCTGCACTGAGCCCTCAAACCTCCCAAAATGCGTGCAATACAGGAACATATACAAGCACTCAAATGATCGGCTAAGTGCTGCATCAGATAGTTGTAGATGAGAGCTACTCTATCATAAAATCGCAGTTGGATAGCTAGAGGGGTGCAGGTATGATGTCATATGTTATTTCAGAATGACATACCCCACAGTGATATGGTATATGCATATATCGTCTTATGTACACCCCGAATCGTACCTAGAGGTCATTCAGAGCGCGTTGCAAAAAGAAGCAAGCGAATAAACGATGTCGTGGTGAGGATATGACATATGCACAGAAGGGGGAGTTGGCTCGAAAATGCGGCCTTCATATGTTTTTGTGTAGACCTCTGATCACTTCGCATCTTGTTGCATTACGTTTATATGTATATGGAGAGCTCAGATCGTCAGTTTTATGCTTATCGGTGAAGGATTGAATACAGGCCATGATATGTCATTATTCTATGACATAGAGTATAGCGAGATAGCATGCGCTCCGATTGTTGTTCTGAAAGGCGGAACAGAACGGGGTGTTCTTCTGCTCAACGATGCAGAAAGAATATTGAAGAATGGTCGAGAAGTGGTTGAGATATGTCAGATGGGTCTAGAACGGCAGGTTGCACAAAGGACGCCCTTGAACCACCTACACTACTTTGCACACTTCAAGCTCATATGGCATATCTCAACCACTTCTCGACCATTCTTCAATATTCTTTCTGCATCGTTGAGCAGAAGAACACCCCGTTCTGTTCCGCCTTTCAGAACAACAATCGGAGCGCATGCTATCTCGCTATACTCTATGTCATAGAATAATGACATATCATGGCCTGTATTCAATCCTTCACCGATAAGCATAAAACTGACGATCTGAGCTCTCCATATACATATAAACGTAATGCAACAAGATGCGAAGTGATCAGAGGTCTACACAAAAACATATGAAGGCCGCATTTTCGAGCCAACTCCCCCTTCTGTGCATATGTCATATCCTCACCACGACATCGTTTATTCGCTTGCTTCTTTTTGCAACGCGCTCTGAATGACCTCTAGGTACGATTCGGGGTGTACATAAGACGATATATGCATATACCATATCACTGTGGGGTATGTCATTCTGAAATAACATATGACATCATACCTGCACCCCTCTAGCTATCCAACTGCGATTTTATGATAGAGTAGCTCTCATCTACAACTATCTGATGCAGCACTTAGCCGATCATTTGAGTGCTTGTATATGTTCCTGTATTGCACGCATTTTGGGAGGTTTGAGGGCTCAGTGCAGGCACACCCAGGAAGGTGTGGCCATTGAATTGTGTACCATTAGGTGCGCATTGTGAATGCAAGTAGATTACAAAAAGAACGGAGGGAAACGGAGCGGAGGGGGAGGCAGGGTGCAGGGACAGCGAGCTCACTGTCGGGCACAGCGAGCACGGGTGGCGGGGCAGGGAGGCGCGCGGCGCCGACGCGGGAGATAACGTGGGCGCGGGCGCGGGAGATAACGCGTGCGGGGGCGGGAGAGATAACGCGGACTGATGGGAGATCTGAAGGATGGGGACACGTGATGGGCTGGGGGACTTGGAAGGGAGGGCGTTCGAATACTTCCCTTCAGGGAAACTGCCTCGGGTTTATTGAGGACATTATTCAAACATGCGCGGGAGCACGGATTCAGGTCTCCTTAGCCCGGGCCATCCCCCCCGTGCCCCAGGCTAAGGGGACCTGATTGATGTGAGGTCCAGGTGTTGTCTACCGTCCATCGCTGTGCACCGGGAAAGACGTATGCGACGATGTTGTTAAGCGTAACGGCTGCGCAGGAGATGCTATCGTTCTGACGAGGGCTAGTGAAGTCGATGTCTTGCGTCTGTCTCCATTCCGGCGACGTCTTAGACTTCCAGACTGCGCCGAATGCCGCTTCTGATATAACATCTCTCCGAATCGGCGAGCGGATTTTACCAGTTCGGCGCCAATTATTTGCTCAGTGTAGTGCGGAAGGGAGTCAGCGACTAAGAATGTTGTGTGTTCCAAGTCCAGAATGACTGTAACCCAGTGTCCAGGCCTGCGGTCATCGGGTTTGAAGTACCAGGGGACAATGATGCGTTCGGTATATCGGCCTGCTTCTTATGCAACTTGAAGATGTCGGAGACAGCCTTCGCCTCTCGACCTCCCAGGCACTGTGTGCCGACGTACGGATTGGCGACGTAAGCGGATGGGTGCTGATGGTGTCGGCGAATGAGGATATTGATCGAAATACATGCCGCCGTGACAGATTCGTCCGAGATCATGCGGTTGGACAGAAGCTCGTAGATGGTATTCACGAGGGTCCTGTTCTTGATAGGAACGTTCTGGATGGCGGCCATGACTGCATCTGAGAGACCGGTGGACCACTTCTCCTCTTCGGCCATTTTCCTCACCCAGTTGATGCTTCGGTGGAGTCCATGGCGTGGCTCGTGGAGAGGCGATATTATGCTCCAAACCTTGAACATCCAGAGGGGGAGGAGGATACCAGGAGCGCAAGGGTGATCGAATGACCGCTTGCCTTTCTCACTGTGGGCTTTGATCGCAGCACCGTCGAGTATTTCGCCCTTGAACCAAGTTGGGTTGCAATGATAGACGTACCGGGGGATTTCTTTCAGCCCTACAGCATCCGATGAGTGGTACAGAATTGCTCCAGCCCGATTCGGCTGTCCGTCGGCCTGTCCAGCGGTTTCCACTTCAATAGCTCGGAGACCGTCAGAGAGGTGGGCATGGCAAAGACTTCGGCCACACCCGCCGGGACCTTGCGGCAGTCTTTGTTCGCCTTCACCCTATTGAACGGCAACGGATCAGGAGTCGGCCAGGGAAGATATCCAACTTCGCCGATTTCAGCACCTCTCCCACTCATATGGCATCCGAACACTCACCGTCATGGTCTTCTTAGTCATAGAGGGTATCGGTTGAGGGACCAGGCTGCAACACCAAGAAAGTCACTTTGAGGCATGCGGAGGTCCCTGGGCGGGGTTTATGATGCATCCGGGCCGACGGCAGCCGCATTTGGAGAATGCCGAGCGCCCAGGATCAGCAACGTTGCGAAGCGATGTAGATCCTCCCGAAGCGACGCCAATCCGGCACCCACAATCAGAACCATCAGCGCTAAGGCGGTCGCACGCCGGCCGCTTTAATCTTACCCGTCTCGCGAATTGCAGCCTGCCCTCCCCCTTTCCTCGCAGTCGCTCCCGCTTGCTTCCCCGTCGCGCCGACTTCACTCCTGCTCAATTCGTCTTCTCTACATCGCCATGCCTGCTCATTCAACACTGCCGCCGCACGGCTGCATCGGCCTACCTTCTGCATCCGAATCGCTTGAATCCGCCACACCACAAATGCATCAACTTGCCTCTGAGATCCATTACGCCCTGCAAAACCGTCCGTCTCAAGACATATCGCAGGAGGAGTCTGATGCCTGGGAAAAGAAATTTGTTCGTCGTCTCTTTCTGCTCAGGCGATACGTGCAGGTCCATCGAAGCTCCCTCTCGACTCTACCTTGTTCGGCCCTCGGAGCATTCTACGAATGGGAGAAGGCGCATTTTGAGAACACCCACCCATCCATTCAAAATATCATTCCGGTGCAGGATAAGGAACCGCTCCCTGAGAAGTACGTAACCTATGCGGACGGGATGCGGTTAGCTGGCAACGACCAAGGGAACATCAAACTTCTCTTGTTGGAAGAGGTTGTGGATCAGTGGTTTCTTCCAGGTGAGCTCAACCTAGACTATTTTATGGCGACGGTTCTGACGGCTTTCCAGTTGATGCAATGGCCGGCGTTGAGGAGCAGGTGTACTCCACATCATCTGGCCGGATGCGGCGGCGTCGCGAATCGGCCAATCCTGGTGAGTACCAGTTCGGGCAGAGGCTTCGCGTCCCCGACTAATATTTTATTTCCCACAAAGGCCCCAGTGCAGTTGATGGAGACCGGGCCGATGCGGCCAGTGTAGAGGCCAGCCGATTTACCCCGCGAAAACGCCTTCGATCCTCCGTTCCGGCCGGCTGTGCCCCTTCAACATCGGGAAAACTCACCACAGGCTCCGAAGTTTCTGACACCATGCTAGCCGATGAATCAGTTGAGTCGGCTGGTCAACGCTCATTTTCCTCGTCAGAACGGCCGAATCAGCAAGCGAAAAAACGGGTGCTTGGGCAGGCGCGCAAGGTGTCCGGCTCACGGAAGAAAGCTGTGAGGAAATCGAGGGAAAACAAATTTGTTCCTCCACGGCCGTCTTGTCCTCCCCCTGCTGAATCTGTCGACGGCGAGTGGGCAGTGGTAGAAATGCCGGAGAAGGTGGGCCATTCCACTTGTGCATGCACACGTCTCATCGGTTCTCATCCGATATTCTCTAGGGGCCTGACGGACTGGACCACCGATGCACTCGTTGCCGAGAAGGGGGGCATAGGTGCCTCATGGCTATCCTCGTCGGCTCTACCTGTATCTGCTGCAAGAAGGCGCATCTAAGGTGTTCCAATGCGTACATCTCAGGATGGAGGGGCTCGCCTCTGGTGCAAGCATATCGCGCCTTTGAGTTCGGAGTCGCAATTACCAATCACAGCCGTTCCGGGAAGTTCGTCCGCGTTCCCAAAGCGCTTCGACAAATCAAGGGCCGTGACGGTGTGCCGACGTTCTACGGGACATGGTGTGACGTTTTTCATGAGACCAGGAATACCTGTCTCGGCCTCGATAATCCTGCGTTACTTCGCCCGTATCCGGCCGCTTCTTCCCCAGATGTTTTGGCATCGGCCGACGATGAAGAAGTCCCATGGGTAAGCCGATTTCGTGATTTTTAGATGCCATCAAACATCTGACGAGATAATGCAGGAAGAGATACGGCAAGAGTATATCGCTGCGGGTGTCGGCGGGCAGTTTGTGCAAGGCCCATTGGAAGGAGAGGATCCCATGGGGCAACTCAAGAATTTCGATATGAAGGTCAGCTGATTTCGTGACATAGAATATATTCGGACTCACTTTATGTTTTAATGCGAACAGACTGTTGTTAGTCCCGCATACGAAGAGCCCCTCGCCGTGTTTCAAGAGGACGCAGCAAAGGAAGCAATGGATGCATCTACCGACACGCAAGGATTTTCGTCCGAGTTTATGCTTAGCAAAGACACGGAGCGTGTTCACAAGACAGGTGCGTTGTAGAGCCTCAGCGCGTGCGACCGAGGATAACCGGGCGGTTCATCATTTGTAGCTGATTCTGGGTTGCCGCCTTTGCCGCGGACTATGCTGTTTAAAACCGAAAAACTGCATCGCGGGCCCCAGTCGAAGCAGAGGATGCGGCCGAGCCGTATCAAAGAAGGGGGGTCAATCCCCGTTTGAGGGCCAACGCCGGCGTCAAGGCTAGTCCAGGTGCCGCTTCTCCATCGGGCCGAAATGTGTACTTCGTCTGATCTTCCGTGGCATTAGCAGTCGTCGATTCAGATGAGGAAATGTTAATTTCCTCATCCTTGTCTGACGAATATTCCGAGGACGCAAAGACGACAGCCCGAAAAGCGAAGGGCAAAGCGAAGGCGACGCCAGGAAATATTTCTCTCCCTTTGGAGGATTTCCGCCGTTCGGACGGTGCGTTGCATTTGAAGCCGGCCGTTTGCATTGTCGCTTATCCTCCCTCATTTATATCAGTCGCCGGCCCTTCGAAGATGGCAGGCAAGAAGCGGCCGAATATCTCTTCGGCGCTGGTCGCAGGCTCATCATCAACAGGGGTATCTCGCGCCCGGCCGGGTGATAATGCTGTCCCTTCCGAGTCAACCGAACGAGAGAAGAATCGGAACGTCGGCGGAAATATCCAGGAAAACATAGTTTCCCCTCCACCTGGTGAGTACTCTCCGATGCATTCACATTAAAAACGCCACGCCAACTCCGCGCCCGCAGGTGGATCAGTGGAGCACTTTTCGCTTGCACCCAAACCAGAGCCTGTTCTTGATGCGATTGCCCCTCATCTTGCCAGGGGCCGTCGGATGCTCTCTGAGAAGGTTGAAGAGGCGATCCGGCTTTCCAAACAAGCCGCTGCTGAATCTCACACCGGCACCGAGCAGATTGCTGAACTCCGCAGTCAGCTTCTCGCAACGCGGTCAAAATTGGAGACACTGCAACAGCAAGTCGCTGAACAAGCCACTAAGTCCGAAGCCATGGAAGCGTCAACTGCCGTCCTGACGAGAGAGGTGGCAACAGTAGCAAAAGCCGTCGTCGCTAACGACCAAGCGTCTCAGGCCAAGTACGACGCCTTTGTTGAGGCGATGAAAACGGAGGCTGAGTTGACAAATGACTCATTCAATGCATTGACTGAGGAGATGGCGTCTCTTCGGCGGGTTCTTGAAGCCTCGCAAGAAACCGACCAAAGTCAGGATCAAAGGTTATCGGCACTGACTGTGTCCGTCTCTCAACTCGAACAGGGTTCGATTGTCGTCTTGGAGAAGCTGAAATCGCAAGCCGGTCAATTACGCACCGACAAGGCCATGCTGACTCGCTATGAAAAGCTCCTGGTCCGACTTCAGCTACATCGCTCCAGTCTGAACCGCTCCTTGCAAGAACTTCGCTCCCAGCAAGCATCGTCGACCTCCCGACTGAGCCGACTTGAGGACGCCGCTCGTTCCATGGTCTCTCACAACGAGTTCACCAAGCACATCGCATTCCATGTCTCGGCCTGGTGCTCGCTTGTGCAGACGACCAGGGAAAATCCGCCCGACTATTCGTCACTTCCAGAGGTCGAACTGACGTCGCTCATGAAACACAGCGCCGATATGTCGCCCGGTGGCCATAGTTTCACTCACCAGAGCAATGAGCCTCCCTTCAATCCCCCTTTGCTGGATCCATCCCCTTCCGAAATTTTGGCAAGGTTCTTCCAGCCGGATGCGCTTGAGAATGCATCGGCCGATACCCCTAAAACTCCAATCGCCGGCCCCTCATCCACTGATCCGGCTGTCTCTCTCCACCATCCCCAACATCCGCCGCGGAATACCACCGCCGATCTGGCCGCCGGGCCATCTTCCCCACCGACGGCCTCACTTTCCCCTTTAACTGCTATTCTTCTTTCATTGGAAGACGGAGAAATGGAGGCCCCTTCGACGGATCCCAGTCGCGCTCCCCCAGGCACTGATGAAAAAGCAGTGGGTTTTCATATCAATCTGGCATATCTCTGCCTGATACTCATTTTTAGCTTGCTGATATAATGCCCCAAGGAGAAGACATTTCGAAGCCCCAGCCCCCCCCTGTAGCATCTGGGTCAGAATCACCCATTGATCCTGCGCGTGCCATGGACGTCAGCATTCCATTCTTAGGCCCAGTAATTGGGGAGTTTATCTCATCCCCTGACCTGCCCATACCTATATGTCGCCAAGTAGATTTTAGAACTGCCTCACTTAGTCTGTTGTATTTTCGTCTCCATAATCCAGATGCATCCTATGTTTTGGACTGGATGAAATGTTTTCTTGAACAGCTGAATACTCTGACATGGATAGCCTCCCAGCTACTCCAGAACGCTCAGTGCTACGTTTCTTAAAATTCAGGCAAGTCGGTAAGGAAAAGAGCACCACAATGTGCGTACCCCACCGGTTTCCTGTGACCGAGTGCCAGGCCGAATTGTACTCGCCACAGGCATATTGGCCTGGGCCGAAATTTCGGGGCCGTTTAAACTGGCCGGTGAGCGCCAGGGCGGTTTTGACACGCGAGAAACCACCCGGCGAGCGCTAGGGTGGCTTGGACACGGAAATGTGCCCAGTGAGCGCTAGGGCGGTTCTCACATGCGGGAAACCGCCGGCGAGCGCTAGTGCGATTTTGAGACATGCCGAATTGCCGGGTGCCGCTAGGTTTCGCCAGATGTCTTTGTGGTGCTCTGCTGTGCTCCATTGCATCAAAAATTACAATCCTAGCCTCAGACCTTTCGTTAGTGATATCACGTGGCTTTGCGGCCCTCTAAAATAGTATGTGGGAACATTGACTGGGAAATAGCTCTTCTTCCACCCTTCTCTATCTCTGGGGAGATGTCCGTCCCGTCTGACAGCCCCCTCCATGAAAAAGCTGCTCTTCTTCTTCAAGATGTCCTAGCTGCCCGCCTGCAATGGTGGGTCACCCCAGGCCGCACTGGTGGTTTTCGGGCCGAGAACCTTTGCCCTTGTCCGCCTGGGTTCAACCTAAAGGTTTGGCATGGGTGCGTTGATGCTGCGGATACAATCTTTGAAGCAATGCAACACAAATGTGAGTCCTCATGAACATTATTTCAATGTTCATTCTCATTTTTACTCTCATTAGACCAGACAGCATGGGCTGCAGAGGATTATCATAAGGCTATGAATAAGGGGCATGGGCTTCCGACACCTGAAGAATGGGAGAAGCTCTCCTCCAACTTTCCCCCATTGTTCTCGTCAATCGAGGGAGAACTGAAGCGACCTGAGTCTGGGTTTGTGGCAGTGGATATCCATGACAAGGTCCTCGCATGGTATCTGCCGGATCTACTCACCGGAGAGCTGCAGGTGTGTGTATCACTCCACGACACAGCACTTACTGAAACCCAGTGGCCGCAAGCATGAGCTTCTCACTGCAACTCAGTGGCTTTTGGCTCGGGAGGTTAAAAAGCCTTCCGAGAACAGCAAGGTGTGGTGGGATAACACTGTCCTCTACTCTAGTGAAAAGGGTGTAATAAAGGGCACTATTTTAATCGCCCGAGCGATGGTACAGCATAAGGCTGTTTGCAGCTCCGGCTCACTTCGCGGGTAAACCCGCAATGATCCGAAGCCGTGAGCCAGGGATCATGAGCCGGGCGGCTCCAGCTCTCTGCAGCTCCGGCTCCCAGCGGCTCCGGATCGAGTGGGCTGAAATTTGGCGGATCTGCGGCTCGATCCACGGATTATCCGCAGATTCTTGAGTAATAGCTTATATTTGTACTTATGTACTACAAGCCCTATACCGTTCGAAAGCTATTTGAAGCGTCGTTGTAACGATATTATATTCGTGTGATTTGGCGAAGAATTGACCGAGTGACAGACAAAACATGACCTATGTTCACTTCGAGTGCATTTGGCGCCCGCGTCTGGCGTCTGCACGCGGGAATCCGTCCAGATCGGGCAATGTTCGGATTTGAACGCGGCATCTCGCGCGCCGCTTGCTCGTCCTCAATCCGAGTCCTCCTCAGTCTATCCTCGCTCGTCCTCCACTTACCCTCTACCCTCCATCCATGCTGCGTCGTCGTCGCGCGCGGCCGTCGTCAAGCCCAGGAGTTGTTTTGTGGGGTAGCGGTGAGCTCCCGCGCCCCCGATCTCCCTTGGTGAGTTGCTGAGTGCTCCCGCGCGGCGTCCTAGCTCGCGCTCACGCTCGTCCCGCGCTCGTCCACCACCTCACGCTCGGGCCTATCCGTCTTGCCACATCGCCATCCCCCGGCGAGCCCCTGGCGAGCCCTCGTCCTCTGCCTCCGCCTCCTCGCCCTCCTCCCACGCTGCCGTCCGCTTCATCAACCGGATCCGCCTCACGTCCGCCGCGCGTCTCCCGCATCTTCCGCGTCGCTCTTGCCCTCGCCCGCGTTGCCCGTGTCCCCAGCCTCAGGCCTGCCCCGCGTCGTCTGATCCTTCGTCCACCCGGCGCCATCGCGCTCGCGCGCCTGGCTGTCGCGGTGAGCTTCCGTGGCCTCCTCTAGTGAGTACTTAAGTTCTTCTCGCCCCCTCTGCTCCCGCGTCCCCTTCCCCTCCCAGGTTCCGGCCGTGCCCACAACGCCCTTGCCCGTCTCGCGCTCGCGCTCGTCCGCGTCGGGCTCATCTGCGTTGCCCTTGTTTACCTCGCGTTCTCCGCCTCGCCCTCGCCCATCTTGCCCCCACATCGCCTGCTGCGCCCTCGCCTGTCTCACCCTCCTCGCGCCTACACTGTCCGCCCTCCACGTCCTCCGCCCTGGCATTGGCACCATGCCGTTCTCAAACCCGAGAGCTACGTCGTGGGGTCGCGGTGAGCTCCCGCAGCCCCAGTTTTTTATGGTGAGTGCTCCCCGCCCTCTCTGCTCCCCACGTCGCCTCCTCCCCCTCATGTTCCAGCCGCGCCGGCAAAGCTCTTGCTCGCATCGTGCTCGCTCGTCTCGTCCCCGTGTCGCCCACGTCGCCCACGTCAACCTCACTCTCGACCTCTCCGCCTCGCTACCTCTCCGTCACCCATCTCGCCCTACATCGCCCCCCCGTTCGCGTTGCCCTTACGCGGGCGCGGGGCTGTTCTCAAGCCCAATATTTCCATCATGGGGTCGCGGTGAGCTCCCGCGACCCCGATCTCCCTTGGTGAGTTATACCCTTTGCTCTGTGCGCACGTCCCCACCCACCTCGCTCTTGTCCTCAGCCTCGTCCGCGTTACCCTTGTCCTCCACGTTGCCTTCGCCCACCACCTCCTCCGCCTCATCCCGGCCCGCGTCTCTCACCTCCGCGTCCCTCGGCTCCGCCTCGCGTCGCCCTCTTCCTCGTCCTCCTCGTCCTCGCCCACTTTGCCCACCTCGCTCTTGCCCGCCTTCTCCGCCATGTTTCGCTCGCATTCGCCTGTGCTGCTCCCGCGTCACCCACCTCGCACGCGTCGTCCCTGTCTCCTCACCCATCTCGCACTCAACCGCGTCCCCCACGTCCCCCGCCTGCACCGTGTCCCCCGCCTGCACCGCGTCCCCCGCATTACCCACCTTGTCCGCGCGTGGTCCGCGTCTTGCCCTCGCTCCCCCGCCTGCGTCCCCCGCACCTACCTCGCCTGCCAACCTCCGCGTCCCCCACGTCACCCGCATGTTGTCCGCCTCTCGCCCGTATCGCCCACATCGTCCGTGTACCGCCCTCACCCTCCCACGTCCTTCCCCCACGTCGTCCACCCCACCTCGCCCGTGTCGTCACTTCATCCGCGTCGCCCACGTCTTGCCCCCGCGCCGCCCGCCTCACCTCGCACCCGTCTCGCGCGCATCACCCACACGCCTCCTTTGTGTCGCCCGTGTCACCCGCCTCCCCCCTGCATCACCCTTGCCCGCATTTGTGCCCACATTACCCGCGTTGGGGCCCAGGTCGCCCGCATCGTCTCCGTCTTACCCACGTCACTCATCTCGCCCGCGTTGCCCACCCTCGCCCACATCCTCGTCGCCCTTGCCCGCTTCACCCACATCATCTGTCCTTGCGCGCGTGCCTCGCGCGCCCACTGCCCATGTCGCGCTCGCCAGCGTCCACCTCGCTTCTCGTCCGCTTCCCATGCCTCACCTCTATCTCGCCTCGGTATTGCCTATGTAGCCTGCCTCACCCGCTTCTCTGGTGTTGTAGTGATATTTCTGTAGCCCACAATACATCTACCAAATGTATTTACTATGTAGAGTAGTAATCTGTCAATGAAATACCCCCTTGCTTGCTCTTCACAACCATGAATGGTCCGATATAATATACTCGAGTGAGAATGATCCGCAAGAAGCAGCTGAGCCGCACTGAGCCACAGAGTGCGGCTCAGTTGGCGGCTCGATCCGCGGATTACGGCTCCGGATCTCGCAGCTCCGGCTCTTCCAGCGGCTCTGACCCATGCGGATCTGGATCAAGCCCCCAGATGTCACATGATCCGTGGGTTCGGATCCGGATCATCTGTGGATCGAGCCGCAAACAGCCTTAGTACAGCAAGGTCTATCCAACTTGGTGAGGGAACATCGTCCACTCCCAGGAATATCGCTTACCAAATCACCAAGGTTGAAAATATACGACCGTCTTTAAATCTCATGCGCAGGCGACCCCATCAAGAACGCCGCACGGAAGTTTGGCTTAAATCCTTTGAGTGCTGCGCTGCGGTGCTGGATGCAGTCATAGCCGTTCTGGCCCCTGAGCAATACAAAGCCCTGGTTCAAATGTTCAATGCATTCAGCCCTGCATTCCAGGACTGGCCGGTTACCGCCGTCGCTCTCCAAATTATAGCGAACCGGGAGACGCCTTATCATCGGGACCTCAACAGTTTTGACTGGTTCTACGATCTTTTGCTTACATTGGGGGATTATGATGGGACATTTCTATCACTTCGGAGTCTCGGGCTGGCACTTCCGTATGAACCTGGGACTGTCCTCTTAATGCTCACTAAGCTTCTAGAACATGGTGCGCCGCCAACCAAGGATGGCGAGCGGTTTTGTATTTCATGGTACAATCGTCGGGAGGTAGTTGAGGCATGGTCCGCTGCGCTGGGTCTCTCTGTTCCACCGCTTCCCCATTTCACTTACCTAGTTCAGCAGATCAGTGATTTCGGCTTCGTATAGGCACTTCCATGTTCAGCCCTGCATATATCAAATACCCGATTTCTGAGGAAGGAATGAGCAGGCGTGGGCACCGCCGGAACCTGCCGGAACCGACACCGAATCAGGTAGGTCAGCCACTTACACCTGCCAGAACTGAGATGGGTGGCTGGCGGAACAGAATAAAACACTCCAGAGGAGCGGTGAGCAGATTAATGCGAAGATTCCACTGGTATTTGCGCATGTTTGTGCCCTGCAGTTTCGCGTGGCCACACTTTGCGCTTCTGAACTTTGTGCTGTTTGGCGTTGTCGTTGCTTCTTTCACGCGGGCGGGTCAGATAAGCCCTGGGCTCACCGACGCGCCCCCCAGCCTCTGCTGCTCTCTTCCCTCTCACTGAACTCGCCGTTCCTTCCCCTACCATGTCTATGCCGCCGACATTCCCCTCCCGTCTCGGCGCTACCCATGTGCTGCCGACCTGGGGCAACACCCCCGAGCCTATCGAGGGAGAAAGAGCCCGCCGGATTCATGAAACGTTCACAGGAAAAATCCCTAGCGGGCCGATGGGGCAATGGACGCGGCCGAAGGCTGCCGAACTTGGGAAGGCGGCTGGGAGCATTTTGTATAAGGTGCGTCATGGTGCAATCGGCAGGCCGATATCGCTCTGAATCTGCGAAGTTCTCGTCCCCCATCCTGTCCGACTTCATGAAAGCGGACCTCGACGCTATCCAGAGGCGCGCCGCGAAATCCCCCTCCACCTTCGATCTTGTTGATGTCACCACGGCGTATCCACGCCGTGTTATCGTCCTCCGTGGCAGTGGGGATGTTATGACATCCCAGGAACGCCGACTATGGGCATTATTCTTCAAACTCGATACATCCGAGGCGGACTTCGAGGCGATGCGCGCGCACACCGCCGCCAGTATCGCCGTGAAGTTTGGCGTGGTGTTCTCCTACGAGCCCGAGCCGGACTTCGATCTCGGCGACGCACATGGGTCCTCGAAGTCCGAAGACGCACAGAACTGGGTCGACGAGTCCGACGACGACGAGGAAGAGGACAGTGACGAAGAACAGGACGTCGACAAAGCAAGCAGCGATGAGGTGATTGAGTACGACGATTCCAACGACGCCGGCTGCCGAATCGAGTCCACATCAACAGTCGCCTCGTTGGAAAATGCGACCGGGCCTCCCGAGACGACATTCATTCACTTTCGCCGTGTTGTAAGTACTTCACTCGTTTCCAGCGCACCCCAAAGATGTATTGAGTGCGATTATTGTGATAGTGTGACAACTGCCACAAGAAGATGCCGGATGGACGAGGAACATGCTACGGCGGAGTGCAACCATGCGGACTGTGCAAGTTGGAGAAGATCCGCTGCTCGTTGCTTGGGATCCGTGGGGACGGATGGGTTCTTGGTATGTCGCATCTGCCGACCTCGATACAGCCACATCCTGACGTTTGGCGGTCAGTGAAACGGCTCGGTGTCATAGCGTTCTTCGACGGCCTGACCTTTTATCCCCTCAAAGCGCTGGTCGGCGCACAACTTGCAGTCGCTGAGGGATACATCGACTTTCTCCTCCACGCTATCACGAAGGAAGACTTCGCGCTCCTCACGTCCGACCTCATCGAGGTTCCCGAGAAGGTCACAACGCTGAAATGGCAGTACCATCGCGCTGACAGCCGCCGAATCGCTTGGCGACACCTATTTGTTGACCGACCAAGGGCGCATATCGGAGTTACGGCCGCCGAATTCAAGACAATCCACGGCAGACGCCGCGAATGCGTGCGCGATAGCTGTGCTCCGGACGAGGAAGCCCGTGCGCTCCGCCCATCCCGTCCACAATCCAGGCCGAAGACGGTGAAGACGACTGCCACAACTACCAAGAAGTCCCCCCGCAAGCGCAAGCAGAAGCCTGCAGGGAAGTCGAAGGCAGCCGCGGGGCCGAAACGCACGCCGAAAGTGATCGAGCTGTCGGACGACGAACAACCCCAGCAGTCGTCTTCGACTCGTCGTACCACACGGGCCACGACGCAGGCAGCATCCAAACGCACCGCCCCTATTTCCCCGCCCTCCACGTCGAAGCCCTCCAAGCGCTTGAAGACCGGCGCCGTGCCTTACATCGAGGTTCCGCCACGCCCCAAGAGAACTGGATCCACGCAGTCCTCGTCGGCGTCCTACGCGCATTTCCTGTCGCCTTTGGAACCGTCAATGTCGCTGTTCGGCCCTCCCTTGTCGTCCCTGGCGTCCTCCGCCACTCGCTCGGCCGCCGAAACACCTGCACAGGCCGACCTTTCGATCGATGGCGAGTTGCGCAAGGCTTACCTCAGCGCTGCGACGAACTTCAACCGGCTTCGGGGTGAGATGCAGGCCGCCATATCGGGTCTTGAATCGGTCGCTGCGCACGCCGAAGGACGCCAAGAAGTAATCCGCAATTCATTTAGCCCGAATGGATTCGCAAATCCGGAGGATTTCCTCACCTGGGTGAAGACAGCCGGCATCGTTTTTGCCCAGGCGTTGCGCACCAACGCACCCGCAGTCCCGATCCAGGATCTCGATGTGAAGATGCTGGATGCGGTTGCTGCTTCGACGCGCACCGCGCCGACCCCGCAGCCCCCTGAATATGTCCTGGAACGCCCTGCTGCGCCACCCACCGCGCCGTCTCCGCGCCGTCTCCCGCGCCGTCCGCTGCGCCGACCACCGCGCGTTCCGCTGCGCCGACCACCGCGCGTTCCGCTGCCGCCGCCGCGCGTTCCGCTGCCAACGCCGGCCGCGCGTTCTGCTGCAACGCCGGCCGCGCGTGCACCGCCGCCGGCCGCGCGTACACCGCGGCCCACCCAGGGGGAGCCGATTACGCCGACGGCGGCGAAGCAGGTGACGCAGGCAAAGGGGATTCCGCCCGGCAAGAAGCAGGAGACGCCGGTCGAGCCAGAGGAGGAGGATGAGGAGGAGGAGGAGGAGGAGGAGGAGGAGGAGGAGGAGGAGGAGGAAGACTGGCCCTGAGTCTGACTGAACCTCAGCAAGGCGCACTCCACTCGTCGAAAACGACGATTTTAATTATATCCGGCCACTGGAAAGGTTTTTGTATCATACGCCGTCTTTTTGCTGCCCCTCTGTTCGCCGGAATGCTTATATATCTGTTGTGTATCCGCCCCATGCACCTCCGTCGTTGACGCGCTCACCTTGCGCTACCAGCGCGCGGTACTTGCCCACGCCCTCGTCTTCTTGTCCTTCTCCCTCCTCTCCCCCCACAGCGTGTACCCCGCGTTACGGCATTGCGGCAGCGTACGCGAGCTGGTCCAGCTCCCGAGTCGGGGCTACTGCACGTCAATCTGCGCGAAAGGCCGAGGCCTCGCTCGTCCTCCGCTTACCCTCTACCCTCCGTCCATGCTGCGTCGTCGCGTGCGCGCGCGGCCGTCCTCAAGCCTAAGAGTTGTTTCGTGGGGTCGCCGTGAGCTCCCGCGGCCCCGACCTCCTCAGCTGGTGAGTTCTACCCGCCCCCTTTGCTCTCCGCGTTCCAGCCACGCCTTGCCCAGCTCGCGCTTGCGTAATCTCACGTTCATCCGCATCGCGCCCTCCAGTGTGCGCTCTCCGCGGGCGCCGTTTCCCGCCCCCGCCCCGTCGATCTCGCCCCCACTTCGTCCGCACCTCGCCCACCTCGCCCGTGTTCCGCGTGTTCCTCGTCGCCCTCACCGCCCCGATCTCTTCTGCGCCGCTCGCCTTCGCTCGTGTCGCCCACATCGCCCGCCTCGCTCACCCTCGCCTCCGCGTCGCCCTCGTCCGTGTCGCCCTCGGTCGCCCCCGCGTGTCCCGATGCGTGCTAGACGGCCCCACCGTCGCCCGCCTTGCGTCATCTCGCGGGCGCATGCGCGGTTCTGTGGGGTCGTGGTGAGCTCCCGCGTCCCCGATGTCTTTTGGCGAGTTCTCCTTTGCTCCCTGCGTCCTCGCTGACCTCGCCCTCATTTCGCCCTCGTCCTCCGCCTCACGTCGCCTACCACGACCTCCGCGTCGCTCTTGTCCGGCTCGCCCTCGCCCGCCGCTGTGCCACGCCCGCGTCGCCGGCCTTACCCCCATGTCTCCCACCTCGCCCGCACCCGCAACCCCGTCCTCCGCCTGCCCCGTGTCGCCCTCAGCTGCACACGTCGTCCGCATCTCGCCCCCTCGCCTACGTCGCCCGCACCTACCCCGCCCGCCGAGCTCCGCGTCTCCGACCTCGCCCCAACCCTGGTGAGTTTTCCCCGCTCTCTCTGCTCCCCTCTGCTCGTCCCGTTGTCCCCCCTCTTAGGTTTTGGCCTCGGCGCGCGCGGGCAACACCCTTAGTCGCGCTCATCCGTGTTCCCGTGTTCACGTCACCCTCTCCGCCTCTCGTTCTCTCCCTCGTCCATCTTGTCCCGGCGTCGCCGTGTCCCCGACGTCTCACCCCCCCTGTCGTCTGTTGCACCCCCACATCGTTCGTCTCACCCTGGCGTCGCCACATCGCCCGCGTGTACTCCCACGTCGCGCACATCCTGCGTCGCCGTGTGCGTCGTCCGTCCCACCCCCGCGTCTACGCGTTGCCCACCTCGCCCGCATCCCCTGCCTCTCTCGCATCGCCCGCGCCTCCCGCATCTCCCCCGTGTCGCCCCCGCGTCGCCCTCTCCGCATCGCCCGCGTCACCCTCGCCCACCCCCACGTCACTCGCCTTGCCCTCTCCGCCCTCGTCTGCCTCACCTCCAACTCGCCCGCCCCGAGCACGCCTCACCGCTGTCTCACCTCCGCGTTGCTCACGTCGCGCACACGTCGCGCCCGCCTGCCTCCACGTCACCCGCCCTCACCCTCGTCCTCGTGGCGCTTGTCTTGCCCCGCGTTGCAGGGCTCGGCCTCGACTCTCGCTAGCCTCACAAGACTTGCCGACCTCGCGCATCCACATTGCCTGGGCTTCGCATCCGCATCAACCACCTTGCTGTGTAGCCGCTGTACCCAGCAACCACCGGTTGTTCTGGGCGATGTATATAGCCTCTGTGTACTTTGAATTATTGCCTTAAATCACACAACATGAGTGGGAAGGATCCGTAGAATCCATGGACCCACAATGAGCGCAGAGTGCGGCTCAGTTTGTGGCTCCACCCACGGATCACGGATCCAGCTCGCGTGGCTCCGGCTCTTCCAGAGGCTCTGAGCCGCGCGGCTCTGGATCAAGCCCCAGGAGATCACATGATCTGTGGATCATCCGTGGGTAGGGCCACAAACAGCCTTACACAGTTGCCCACCCCCACACGCATCGCCTGCCTCCATGGGGTGTCGGCCTCTTCCTCTAGCCTCACCTGTCGCCCACCTCTGCCTCACCCCCTCTGCCTCACCCACCTGCTCACCGCCTTGTCTGCCCTTATCGCCTGGTGCCTCCCTCACCTCCGCCCGCGTTGGACATCTCTGCTGCTGCGTTGTGGCCCTCCACATTGCCCACCACCACCATCTCCCCCTCCTCCGCATCTTCCCTGCCCACGTCACCTCCTCCGCCCACGCCGCCTCCTCTGCCTGCGTCACCCGTCCTCGTCTCGCCTGCATTGCCACTAAGCCCACCTGATGTGCTCTGACCCTCGGCTACATATTGGCATCTCCCTCGCCTGAACCCTCTATGCAGCAGCATCAGGCTTGTGTGCTTCCATGCTTGGCCACAACCTGTATTTGTTTTGCCTGCCTCGGCTCTCTTGCCAGCCTCATGAGGCATCCAAACCACCCGATTTCTGTCAAAGTTGGCCCGGAGGACTTGAACTTAGCTTTATATCAGTATTTGTGTTCATGAGAAATTTTACGGGATTTCCATAGGATCTAGGAGAACAAGTTTTTTTTCCAGTTCTCTGAAGAGTATTTCCACAGACCCCAAATATGAAATTTCTTTTCCCGTTCTTCCAAAAATTAGGTTTCTGTCTCTAGAAACCGCAAAAAAAGTTTTTCTTCTTTTCCAGTTCTTTGATAGCCTCATTTTCTGGACTTTCCCTGACCAGAGCTCAATTTTTGTAGAGCAAAATTTCAAGTGATCAGATCAGGAACCAATTGGCACTACTGGCTGCTTGTTTGGCTGATTGGCTGAATAATCAGCTCATGGGGCACATTTATTGCAAACTGGTCGGCTCGCATGAGCGAATCTCTTGAAAACTGAGTGCCACTCGCATGAGCGAATCTCTTGAAAACTGAATCACACTCGCATGAGCGAATTTGTTGCAAACTGAATCCCACTCGCATGAGCGAATTTCCTGAGAACTGACAGTTACTCAGATGAGCGTAGTTCTTGCAGACAGAATGTCAATTTTTCGCTGCTCATTTGAACGCATGTTTCGCTCACCATGAGGCTCCCGTGAGCGTATCCCTCACGAACTGAGTGCCACTCACATGAGCGAATATTCCCCAAACCAGTCACGGCTCATGGGAGCGGGTTTCTCTAGTACCCAGCCAACTCAAATGAGTGAATCTATCATGAACAGACGACTCTCAGTTGAGTGCTCCTGTCAACAGAGCACTCTAATGTAAGACTGCCCTCATATGAGCAAGCCTCTGCTCAACAGATTGACCTCAAATAAGGGAAGGCCATGTGAACAGACTGTTGCTCACATGAGCCTGTCTTTCATGCACAGGCTGACCTCATGTGAGCATGTCTCATGTGAAATGATGGCCGTCATATGAGCAGAGCACTCCTAAAAACACCTTCCTCAATTGAACTGATATTATGAAGGATTTCGGACATTTTGGGGGAGCACCTCACATGAGCAAAAGCACTGTCTACCACCATAAGCTCATATGAGCAGGAATATCGAAAACAGATGTCAAGCTCAATTGAGTGCATATAAGCAGAACATCTGCTTATTCCTGCACCGCAAATAAGCGCATCATGCGAATATATTATGGCACTGCACTGGCAAACCAGCGTGCACCACCCGTTCGTGCTGAGGATCCCGTTGAAGGCACATTGGACGAAGATCTTAACATGAGCGGTGATGGAGGCGGCGACATCAGTGAGCCAAACAGCAGTGGTGAAGAAGAAGAGGAAGAGGGAAATGCGTTAGGTGGAACGGAAACTCAAGTCGCGCGAACGCTCGAACGTGAGGTGAGTGGGCGCATCTGGAGTGTGGCTGCACGTCAACAGCCTGCGTGTCTTCTCGCTTCACACGTCCTGGCTCACATTCTCTTCTCAGACTGCCACCTTGCTCGGTGGGTCTGAGAGTGAAGATGACTCCCCACCTACCCTCTCTCGTATTCGTCGCTGCAACACAACCCCTCCGACATTACTATGGGAAGAGGACGACACCTTGTATGCGGAACGGCCACAGGATACCAACATTCTGGAGAACTCGGATGCGGGCGATGGGAATGGGGAGCTTGATGACGACGACGTATTCCAGGTGTGTAGTTCGATGCTTTTATGCGCAGAGGATAAATACTGAGAGCAGTCTGGGGGTGTTGAAGCCATCGAAGGCTTCCAAGTCTAGACTAACACCAAAAACGAAGACGAAGTCCTCAAAGACGATCAGTGAGGTCACGGAGCAGTCAAACATGGAGGATCCCGACTCTGGATCACAGGTGAGCTCTAATTTTCTGTATTGCGATGCTACAATCGAACGAGACTGAGCACACGAGCCTTGGTGAAGGACGACCACGCACATGCAAAGGATGGTGGCGCGCAAACCAAGGGCGGCCGTTCGCGCGTAAAGGGTGGCCGTTCGCACGCAACGGATGGCCGCACGCACGCAACGGACGGCCACGCGCACACAACGGACGGCCGTGCGCACACAACGGACGGCCGCGCACACACAACGGATGGCCACGCGCGTGCGCAGAATGGCAGCGCGCGTGCGAAGGTATGTTTTGCAGTCAGCTCTACTTGCAAATCGGTCTTGATGCGTAGCGAATAGCACACATCTACGCAGGTCTACGCTTCGGAAGCTACACCATCCTCAAATGCGCGAGGCTTGTCTCAGCAGAACGGCGGTGCTCCCAAGCGATCTCGCAAGCACAGGCTAAGCGACGAT